ACTGCTCAGTGTGTGCGACAACGAAGGCCCCCGGTATAACTCCCCGGGCACCGCTCCAACCGATCCCCGTACAAGGACCGAACCGCCGAGTGGGTGTTGATGTCATTGAACCCTTAACAGTAACCAGAAAATGTAACCGTTTCATTGTTGTCATGGTGGATTACTTAAATAAATGGTGCGAAGCTGTGCCTGTGAAGCAACAAGATGCCCGTACGATCACGTCAGTGATAATCTCTGAGTGGGTATCACGCCGGTGCGTGCCAGTCATTCTCCACTCTGATCAGGGCCAAGCCTTTGAGAGCCACTTGCTGTGGGAAATACGTGCATTCCTGGGGATCCATAAAACAAGGACAATACCCTACCACCCAGAGGGAAACGCTCTGGTTTAACGCACCAACAGAACCATAAAGAAAATACTCGCCCCCCTCGTGGATCTTTACGAAGGGAAACGGCGGGACGAACAAATTCCGCTATGTATGCTGGCCTATCGAGCAGCTACATACGAGTCGACAGGTTATGCAACGGCATTTTTACAACTCGGCCACGATCTCCGACTACCTTCAGACGCAGACACGCCTGTGGTTCCGGCAGACCTGGTTGGCAGTAACGAATACGCCCGGTTACTCCGAGAACGCCTGTCCGCGGCACCACAAATCGCCTGTGGAAACATCGGACATGCACAGCAACACCAGAAAACTGTGTACGATTGCAGATCACGCGGACCTCTGCAAGAAGTAGGCGACTTTGTGCTTCTACACCGGCCGAACCCACCACTGGATGCGCCCGAGAAAGTCCACCACATGTGGCAGGGACCTTTTGTTATCGTTATTAAGGGGCCAAACAATACCTATGTCATTCGTGACCCTTCTAAGCCACATATGGATGTACAGTGTGTACATTACAATCAATTAAGCCCTACAATTCAACCCGTCCTGGCACCCGGTCGTCTACGTCCTCCTATCCCCCATCTGTCAGCCATACTGTTGAGATCAGTACATCCGACACGAACACTCCTTCTGAGAACTGAGGAAAGTGATCATACTCGGGAGAGGGCAGTGTAACGCAGTTGAAAATTGACTGTATTTGCTTGCACGTCCATCATATGACCTTATGTGTGCCTCTCCTTCTCTCTCCCCTTATCGCAGGTACCACGGACGAGCCACCACGAGCCCCGGGCAGGGAAGAGTAACCCCTTGTACACCCTCTTGATTGACCTTGACCTGCCTTTGTACCCCCGTCTCCCGGTTTCGGTTTCGGCTTAATACATACAACACGAACTCTCGTTCTGGGCACTGAGGACAGTGCTCATACTCGGGAGGGGGCAGTGTAACGCAGTAGAAACTTGACTGTATTGGCTTGCACGTCTCACGCATGACCTTATGTGCGCCTCCCGTCTTGGGTAAATAAATTTGAAGCCCCCGACTTTCGCTGTTAAGTTACAAGCTTTATACATCCCTTGTGACGGATGGCATGGGTATCGGTCGACCCGTAATGTATGCCTTCGTCGAAAGCGAGTATTTTGCGCCATTGTGCAAGTTGTTCAGCTTGTTCAAGAATGGACACTATGAAGTCAAAACGTTCGTCATGGACAAGATGACTTCGCGGATGAGGGCTGCCAAAGCTGCATTCGTCTGCGATATAATGCTGTGCTGTTTTCACGCACGGCAAGCCATCAGGAAGCACGTACGTTTCATTACTTTGGTGGTGGCCACCACTAACAGAACGTCCGAACTATAATAGGAAAGACGCCCACAGCTATCTCTGAACATCATATTACCTACAAGCTAGTTATGCATATCTGGGAAAGGGGATCATCC